TTTTTTAAAACTTTAGATAGAACATCTATCCCCCAAGCAAACCGGACTAAGAGCATCCGCATCGCACGAACTACTCAAGCGGAGGAGAAATACTTCTCCCGGAGGAGTTGTTACATTGGATGGAGAGGTTAAAGGAGGGCTCCTCCTGTATGACATGTGTCACTTCTTCTTTTTCCTTTTCTTTTTGTACGGAGTTATAATATTGGGCTGTAGAAAAAAGTTTTTTTTACGGTGGAATTGAACAAAAAAATGAATAGTTTGAATTAACTAGATTTTAACCCGTGCGATGCACGGGAAAAATATTACTCAATTCCAAATAGAATTATACTTTTCACTATTCAAAAATCAAAAGTCACAAATATTTTTTGTTTATTTGTGCATTTTGGTTAATTTTTTTTATAAAATAAAATATTTTTGTCACTTCTTGTTTTGTAAAATTCTTGCGGTAATTATGGAAGTTTTATTTTTAATTTCTATAACAATCTTTAAATAACATGAATTAAAAAACTTGAAATTTTATTTCATTTTACGTGAAGCATAAAACATTTTAAGACGGGAGTAGTGTTATACTCCCTCCGTCCCGCTATATTCGTCCACTTTTGACTTTTGGAACTGTTCATCTAAGCACTTTGACTCATCAAATTCTCTCAATGTGTAAGCTTAAATATAATCATGTGTGATCATGTTTGATTTGTCTTAACATATAGATTATTAATATATAATTTCTATAATTTTTTAATATACAAATTACAAGATAAAATGGATTAAAGAAGTACATTGGATGGTATGCAAAAATAAAAGTGGATAAAAACTCTAGGACGGAGGGAGTAATAAGTAGTACTCCGGATTACACAAAATGTAGAGGCCCAAGACCTCCTAACCCCTAAATGGGCCCACCCCGACCTTCCTACACTATTATTGTACGTGGATGGAAAATTGTTATTCTTTACAAACATTTTATGGATGCATTGAAAAGAAATGGCGATTATAAACCAAAATATGAAGAAATCATGTCTAGCAAAAAACAAATTTGTTACAAAAAACTTCAATACCCCACAAAAGACAAATTGTTAGCGGATATTTGTATTTAGTTGTATTATTGTATTGGGCCCACACGTGTAACCCTAGCCCGTCTCGTGTAAACTTGTATATATACGGTCTTGGTTGTTCAATAAAAACAGATCAGTTTTTGTCTTATTTTTACATGGTATCGGAGCTCAACCCTGGGCAAGATACGTTTTTTTTTCGGTGCTGATCTCGATCTACTCTCGATCACATGAACGCAACTATGCGTGTTCTTCGTTACATCAAAGGCCATCCGGGTCAGGGTATTTTTCTCAGTGCTAACAGCAATTTACAAATCTCTGCCTATTGTGATTCTGATTGGGCTAGCTGTCCCGTGTCCCGTCGGTCTGTTAGCGGATATTTTATTATGTTGGGGACTTCTCCGGTATCCATGAACGAATGAAGCATGTGGATGTTGATTGTCACACCGTTCGAGAAAGTGTCCAGCGACATGAGGTGTCAACGAGATATGTTCCTACTCGGTACCAGTTGGCCGATATTTTCACTAAGCCGTTGGACAAACCTAGTTTTGATTTTTTGTTGTGCAAGTTGGGCATTCAGGATCTTCATGCGCCAACTTGAGGGGGAGTGTTAGCGAATATTTGTATTTAGTTGTATTATTGTATTGGGCCCACACGTGTAACCCTAGCCCGTCTCGTGTAAACTTGTATATATACGGTCTTGGTTGTACAATGAAAACAGATCAGTTTTTGTCTTATTTTTACACAAATTCTTACAACTTGGAACATATACTGATGGAACCTAAGTTTAAGAGGATATTCAAAAATTTCATCCATGCAGTGAATGACATACATATTAACACCTAAATCTGCACTTCAATTTAAGTTATCAAATCATATATGCATAGCATATTCAAGCATCACAAAATAGTAAATTAAATTTGAAAAAAATAATTGGTTGTTTGAGAAGTCTGATTTTAAAAAATGAATTCAAGAAAAGAAAAGAGCAATGTTAGTGGTACATCAAAGGTGTACCCCAAATGTACACTACCCCCTTGTCCACCATCCATTTTTATTTTATTTTTATTTATTTATTGAGCCATGCTAGGGGTACACCTTTGGTGTACCCCAATTGTACACCACATGCTTCTCCACCACACATCTTTTTTTATTTTTATTTATTTATTTATTTATTGAATTTCTTGCCAATTATTGTGGACAAGGAGAGGGTGGGGGACATTTGGGGTACACCATTTGGTGTACCCCTAGCTTTTTTTTATTTATTTATTTTGAATTTCTTGCCTTTTTTTGTGGACAAGGAGGGGGTGGGGGACAAATGAGGTACAGATTTGGTGTACCCCTAGCATTTTTCTATTCCATATAACCAACAAATTACTTTTTTCATTCAAAAAAAGTACAGAACTCTACAAAGCTTGATAAGAAAAATAAGGAAACCGAAGCTACTGTAAAAAGGTAAAAAAATTTCTACTGTTAAAAAATAAAGCTAAGAGATAGATCCCAAGAAGCAAACAACTTTTGGCTTCCAAAGTGGTGTTGTAGCAGAAGCCTGTGTGCATGGCAACTTTTACATCCCAAGCATAGAAGCCACCAACAAATCTACCATTGAAAGTTGTGTCTTTCTCATCTACTAAACCAATATCCAGAGTAGCCTTGCATCTTCCTGCAAAACAATCAGCCAATGCAACATCATCAAATGGAATTGAATTAATTCTTACACTCCAAAAAGCATTCTTCCAAAACAAAGCAAATCCAAAAGCGCGTCATGGCTAAGTAATGCCTCTTTTCTTACGGCATCACACTCAAGTTGTAAGACAAATCTAAAATGATGAGAAAAAATCATTATTACACTCATGTTATAACTCCTTAAACATACACCCTTATAGGCCAATTGAAAGAGCTCTACTCGATGCCCGAACTTATCTAAGCTACTTCAAGGACAAAGATACATTACTTGGCCACTCATAATGAGCAAATTGTATCTCCAAACCAAATGCAACCCCACTCAAGCATTTTTCAACATCACTCATTGGGCATGAAAGTGGTAGCCACTTGATTCAATATTTTCATTGCTTGTATATTAGGTAATCAAGAAACAATATGCACCAGCGGGAATACATTGACTAAAGAAGATAAAAACTTAAATAACTGTCTTCTTGCAGCATAAAAAATAAAAATGTCAAAAGATATTAATTACCTTTAATTGTGGTCTTTTGTAATACTCCGTAGGTTAGTTGTCTCCACCTCTTAGCGATCAGAAAAGTCTCTTCAGCCATGTATGCTATTGTCACTACAGCGTCTGCAAATGATACAAAGTACATTATGATTTTGTGTAAAGATGTACAACTAAAGTTGATGATGAAATGCTTTCATAAAAAAAGGGAGTAATTAAAAAACAAATCCTTGGACCTATAAACTTTCTTGCAACACCTTATCTTTGTTTATTTTTGCTGCAGCCAATCTATCTCCTAAGATGTTCCCAAAATGATATGTTATTAATAAGCTAAATTAAAGATAATAAAAAGCCGGAAATTCTATCGTAGCACGATTTTGCTAATCATCACAATTCTCTGTATTTTGCACATTATTATTATAAAGGAGTAACATAATAGATCCTTCCATTTATTAGATGTTAAATGATGCTTGGGATGAAATTTAAAGATTACAACAAATACTGCTACACATTGGAAGCATATTTATAACACACAAAGCCTTCGCATGATCTATTTCACATTTTAAAGAAATATTTATCTTGAAAACATACAATTTAACACACTAATGGAGTAAAATAGTTATAAAAAAAATACTAACACACATTTGTAAATTGGAATAAGAAAACCCCTAAAGAGAAGAAAAATCTATTGCGGAGTATGTTACAAATTGCATCTAAATATCAAATGAAATTAAGATATGAAATTAGTGAAGCTTAGAATTTCTGGTTCGAAATTGAGCTTCTTTATTCAAAAAAGCAATCAAGAAAGGCTCTTCAAACTTGCGTGAATATATGTTAAAAAAAACCCAACACAATTCAAACATGTTTTTAGAATGAAATTACATACATAATGAAAGATCCGCAACATAGTAAGTAAAATAATAAACTTAAATAGAGTAAGACCTCTTTTCTAGCTTGCAATCTGATCAAAGAGAGCACTACAATATGCCTAAAATCATATCTAGCTAGATGTAGGGTCACCCTCAAAACCAAATGTTGCACCCCACTATGAATGCAGAGAACTCTTGTATCAATTTTTGTTTAAATATATTTGGATGGATAGGGTGGGGGTAGAATTTGAAAAGCATGCTATTGAAAATATATATGGTTAGGAAAATGGAGAGTTTGAGAGTACTGAAGGACCAACCTATGCTAATTTTTGTTTCTTCAGTCTCTAGATTGCACATTCTACACATGGGTTAGCCTGGTGAAGGACATCCTTTACCCTACAATTACAGTCCTTTCACCCCATTCTAAATCAAAGAGATGAGAAATCATATCACTATAATCACTCTAAGTTTCCCCATGCCTAAATCGAGTGAAATTAAAAGATTCAATATCATTTTGATCATATATAAAGGATTACGGGTCTGAAGAAACCTACCTTCGTACATCGTCATTGTCGGAATCCTTAACAACCATCCAAATCATTTCCTTCCGTAGCTCTCCATTATGGATTTCAAAGAACATGCATCGGCCTTATCCGATCGAGACACAATAGGAATTCATCGGCTTTATCCTAGAGATTCTGCGCCTGTCGGTTTCTGTCCGCTAAAACCATGAATTCCTGTCATTAGCGTCTCCCTTCTGGGTATAGGAATTTGCTAGCTCTAGGTTCAACCGGTTCAAGGCGGATGAGGATCAGAAGAAAATTAGGTTGTACGTTGCATTGCTCGATCAGAGCCTAGCTCTCCAATTTGGCAGAAACTTTATCCTCTATAGAGATGCAAGTTAAATTAGTGACGTCTTTGAGATCATGAAATATAAAAACTTTTATAATCATTTCTAGCATAATTAAAAATTTACAAGTTCATTTGTAGTAATCCTTTTGATGTAAAAGTTGAATAGGAGTGAATGGAAGAGTTGTAAATTGGACCCACAAAATATGATAGTGGAGGAGAAAGGTGGAAGCAGTCCTCCGCTTTGTCCGATTCTAATATCTTATTATTGGTGAAGGTATATAGTAGTACTATTTTTAATGTTAGAAATGCATAAAGCATGATTATTTGTTTATTGGTTAATTAAAACATAGACGAGCCAAGATTTAATTTTAAAAAAAACTATGTGGTCTATATCATTTCTCGTTCTTAACCACAACCACATACATTCTAGCTATTTTAATTAAAAATTATACCAAATCAAACAAAGAAATTTCCTCGAAAACAAATGAAGAAAAAAAAAATGAAACGAAAGGAGTATCATATATGACCTAGTTCAATTCATATATAAGTTGAGACATGAAGTACACATATATTGCCCTTCAAATTCCAAAAAAAATACACATAGATTGATTATATATGTTTTTGAAATAAAAGGACATTGATTGATTTTAAATTACTTATTTCTTGGTATTTATTACCTATCACATACACGGAATATGTCGAGAGACATGGAATACAATATAGAGATTGAAGCTTAATTACTTAAATACATAGATGATGATGATTATGATAATAATAATAATAATAGTATTAATAATATTAATAGTAATATTAATAACTGGTAAGCCTCTTAGCTCAAATTAATGGCGATAGGTGTTCGCAGCCCAGAGTATATTGCCATGCATGATCTCTGCCCGGACTTGGTTTAATTTACGTACGTACTCTTTGAAGACATCATGTATAGATAGGTGTGGCAGGTGGAGGGGAGTCATGACCTCTACCGCCAGGACTTGGACCACTCCCGAAGACGTTATAGGCAGATGTGGATCGTGGAGGGGAGGTATGACCTTTGATGCCAATACTTGGATCACTCTTGAAGACATTATAGGTTGGTGTTGACAGTGGAGGGGAGGTATGACCTATGCGAGAACCTTCTTTACTCTGGAAGACGTCATAGGTGGATGACGGCGGTGAAGGGGGGATGGCATCACGATGGCCACCGTCTGGACTTGGAACACTCTGAAAGACGTTATAGGTGGACTCCAAGGGTGGAGCGGGATTGCCATCGTGATGGCCTATGCCAAGACTTGGAACACTCTTGAAGACATTATAGGTGGACTCCAGGGGTGGAGAGGGATTGACATTGCGATGGCCTACGCCAGGACTTGGAACACTGTGGAAGACGTTATAGGGGGACTCCAAGAGTGGAGCGGGATTGCCATCGTGATGGCCTACGCCAGGACTTGGAACACTCGGGAAGACGTTATAGGTGGACTCCAGGGGTGGAGAGGGATTGACATCGCGATGGCCTACGCCAGGACTTGGAACACTCTGGAAGACGTTATATGTCGACTCCAGAGGTGGAGAGGGATTGACACCGCAATGGCCTACGCCAGGACTTGGAACACTCTTGAAGACGTTATAGGTGGACTCCAGGGGTGGAGCGGGATTGCCATCGCGATGGCCTACGCCAGGACTTGGAACACTCTGGAAGACGTTATAGGTGGACTCCAGGGGTGGAGAGGGATTGACATCGCGATGGCCTACGCCAGGACTTGGAACACTCTGGAAGACGTTATAGGTGGACTCCAGAGGTGGAGAGGGATTGACATCGCGATGACCTACCCCAGGACTTGGAACACTCTGGAAGATGTTATAGGTGGACTCCAAGGGTGGAGCGGGATTGCCATCGCGATGGCCTACGCCAGGACTTGGAACACTCTGGAAGACGTCATAGGTAGACGGAGGCGGTGGAGGGAGGACGGGACCGGGATTGCCTACGGCTGGACTTGGATGACTCTCACGGTCGACATTGTAGGTAGGCGCTGGCGGCCAGGAAGGAGTGACGACATTTGAATGGACGATGCCAGGACTCAGTTGACTCTCCAAGATAGACTGCGGCAGCGGCGGCGGCGGCTCATTGTCTGCCAATAATAATCTTGTGGTCAGTAGTCTCGCCGCCCTTCCTTCAGTTGGTTGAACACCAAAGAAGAAGAGAAATAATAATGGCACAACAATGAGAACACACCAAGTGGCGGCCATATTTTAATTATATGTATTTTTATTTTTTATGGTGTCTAGAAACTTAGTGTTTGCTGGGTTTAGGCTGCATATATATTTGGTAATTAACTCTCAGGGATCGGAGGTATATATAGATAATAATGGAGTTATACACATGCGGACTTCTATTACATACCAAGTCTTGACTTAAGCTAAGTATATACTCCTCCACTAAGATCAGTGGTAGTGCCACCACAAGTGTGATCCTAGTTGGCATGCCGCATGCCAAGTGGCATTCGTGGAAGCCGTGAGCACTTCCACTCCCTCCGTCTCATAAATATTGAAATAGTTTGACTGGTAAAATAAGAATGGATAATTTTGTGTTGACTTTTCAAAAATACCCTTGATATGATGGGTAAAAGTAAAATGTGATGTGTAGATTATTTAAAAAAAGGTATGATGTGATAGGTAGAGTATGAAAAAATAAGGGGTAAGAGTGATTTTTTAATAGAAATGGAAATGACTTTAAGGGACGCAATTTTTTTGAAACAAGACTGACTTTATGGGATGGAGGGAGTATATGTTTACATTTTTTTATTACTTTTTTTCGTTTTATTTATTTCTTATTGAATTGGTCTATTTTTCTCATTGGAAATATTTTCACAAGATTCACCAATGACACCAATGTTGCATATACTCCCTCAGTTCCTTTAAATCCTTACACTTTTGACTTTTGGCAAAAATAAGGAAAGTGTAATTTTGGTTGATTTTCCAATTTTGCCCCTGATGTGATGGGTAAAAGTAAGATGTGATGGATTGATTATTACAGAAAAAGTATGATGTGATAGGTAGGGTATGAAAAAGTAAAGGTAAAAGTGATTTTTTAATAGAAAGTGGAAATGTTTTAGGGAATTCAAAAAAAACGAAAGAGTGAGGGTTTTGTGGAACGGAAGGACTATAATTTTGAGGTTATGTCACACTTATATTTTTGAAACAAAACACGTTTTAAATTTAAGTTATGCTATCATTTTTTAGTCCTTTTGAATTAAACTAACTTAGGTTTGCTCTCACTTTTTTTTAAGTCTTATTTAATACTTGTAACGTATTTATATGATTTTTTAGTGATAAAAAACTAAAGTAGGAGCAAAACATTGAAATATACTAAAATAGAAGTTTCATGTTTTTATTCACGAAATAGAAGTTAAAATATATTTACATTACCACTCATCACCTTGTACATTACCAAAATGTATATAATAAAATACACATGTATAGTGCCACATTAAGAAAATAAAAATATGGAACTCTTATTTTAGTATTTTTTTTCTATGTCTTACTCCTATTTAGGGTGATTTCTTATTTTTAAAATTAGTCATAATCCTATTTTTAGTGGTACAATAGAGTATTTTCTATTACTATCTGCTTTTTCTTTTTTTTTCTTGCGTGTGGTAAAAAATTTTAAATAAATAAAAATAGGACAAAATATCGAGCGAATGCTATATAGATTAAAACTGAAATATTTAAAAAAATAAAAAAAATCAAAAATTGAAAAGCAGAAAAAAGAATAAATTTTTATTCTCTTATGAAAGATATAATTTAATTTAAATAAAAATAAATAAATTTTAAATAAAAATATAAGTGTAATCATTTTAGTGAAAGTGAGACACTATGAGTGTGAAGTGAGTACAGTCAGCGGTGATATGATGTCACACTGAGTGACTGTTAATTTGGAGTGAGAGGTGGTGGAACACTACAAATAGCCTAATAGAGTCCAAGTAAAGAATCTTATTTCTTCATAAATATTTCGATCATAATGGTTTCATAAAATGACATATTTAAGTCAAAACTTTTTTTGTATAATTTTTTATTCTAATTTTTAAATCTATAATTTTCATTTGTAAATTCTACATTAAGGGCTCGTTTGGTGAATTTTAGTGATATGATAAGATATGACTTTTGAAATCTGAAAAAAATTATATAGGTTTTGAAATTGAAATGAAGATGTCTGAAAGGATTTTAAATCATGATTTAATTAGTGATACGTGTAGGTGGCTGAAAACATAACGGGGATGGATGATAGTGACAATCGCAGTCGGTGGCGGGAATGATCAACGATTAAAAAAGATATCAAAACTCTATATTGATATCTCCTAAATTCAGGCGATATTAAAAACCTCCATTTCAAGGAATTGTAAAATCTAGAGATATATCACTCGCCAAATACTAAAAAAATCAATATATGGAGATATGAGAACTAATATCTCTTTCGCTCACCAGATAGATCTGGCCCATATTTTATTTTGGTAGGGAGACACCATTCATTATCGAACAGCAGGCTCTAACATTCCCTAAAATTTCGTTTGTTAGTCAGAAATAATACGTTGGGAAAATTATTAGAATATGAGTAAAGATACTACTCCCTCCGTTACACAAAACCCTTCTGGTTTTGACTTTGGGGAAAAATAAGAAAAGTGTAATTTTGGTTGACTTTCCAATTATGTCCCTGATGTGATGGGAAAAAGTAAGATGCCATAGTTTGGTTATTAGTGAAAAAGTATGATGTGATAGGTAGGATATGAAAATGTAGAGGTAAAAGTGGTTTTTTAATAGAAAGTGGAAGTGTTTTAAGAAAAAAAACGAAAGAGAAAGAGTTTTGTGGAACGGACAGAATACTATTCCTCAAATAAGAGTACTCCTATAATCCTATATACAATTCTTAAAGTGGCACGATTTGACAAAAATATCCCGGTAAGAAATTAAAAAGTTACGTCCATCAAAGCCATTTTTCTTAGACCTGGCAAAACTGACCCGGACCCGATAACCCGAACCGAATAACCCGGAACCAAACCCGATTTGACCCGAAAACTGAAGAACCAAAATAGACCCGTACACCCGAAATGATCCGAACCGAACCGAACCCGAACTGAATGTATTCGGACCCGAATCCAATTAAACCTGGAACCGATTAGACCCGAAATTGATTAAATTTTATGTACGTCCGTGTTAAATATTAAAATAACTACGGAGTATATCATAAACTGATTAAATTTATAATGTGATATTATTGATTTATTAGTAAATATTTAAAATATATCTGAACTAATATAAACCTAAATCGATACAAACCCGAATTGATATAAACTCGAACTGATACAAACCCGAAGCGATACAAACCCGAACCGAAACCGAAAACCAGTCAAATCGAAATAAACTCGGAACCAAACTGACCCAAACCGAACCGACCCGAACCGATTATAACATATATCCGAATGAGACCCGAACCGAAAAGACCCGAACCGGGACCGACCCGATTGACCCGATTGCCAGGTCTAATTTTTCTTGCGCTCCAACAGGCCCATAGGGCTAAAATTGTGGAAAGTAGAAAAGAAAAATAAGAAATTAATCATTAGATTTTTAACCAAATTTTAATCATTATGTTAGATACCATTAGATTCCTTATTAAGAAATGACTCTAAATAAAATTAAAACAAAGAGAAAATAACAATGCAGGAGTTCTATATTTGAGTAAATTCCATAAAAAGTCACCAGTTATGTGTCGTTTTACATATTTAGTCCTTACATATCAAATATTACTAATTTAGTCCCCAATTATTGTATCATTTTGCACGGATGGTCCTTTGTTAACGTTTTTGTTAAGAATATATAGATAAAATTGTATATTCATACTTCTCTCTCGTACTCTTTCCCAAACTTGTCGCTGAGTTTGAAGCTCTAAACTCAAAACTGAAATGATCATTCCTCTCTCAATTATTAGTCTTTCTGTACAACCTAAAATCAAAACCAATAAGCTTTATGGATGAGTTTTATCGGTTAGTCTCGAGAAATTGCAAAGAAAATAAACATTAAAACTCATCAATGAAGGTTACTGGTTTCGAATTTGGGTTCCACCAGTTAGACAAACAATTGAGAGAAGAGTGATGATTTTAGTTTTGGGTTTCAAAGTTTCAAACTCAGCGACGGGTTTGAGAAAGGAGTGCAAGGGGAGGGAGGAAGTTTAATTGAGGAGAGAAAGGATTGTGAATTTACAATTTTATCCACATTCTTAACGGAAATGTTAACAAAAGACCATTCGTGGAAATTAATATAATAATTGGAGACTAAATTAGTAATATTTGATATGTAGGGACTAAATATGTAAAACGACATATAACTGGGGACCTTTTATGAAATTTAGTCGCTGATGGCTGAATTGTTTGCCACTAATAATTCCATCCAAACAAAAAAGGATGTTCGTTCTATCCCACTAAACTCTTCCATCTCTGCTTAATTCTTTCTTCATATATAAAACACCCTAAAGTAGTAGTATACCAAATAAAAAATGAAAGTGCTGGACTTTCAAGTCCTGAATTGCACTGCTCCCAATAAATCACTGAGTGGGAGTGACATTTTCAAAAGATTCCCCCGTCAAATGTTCTACTCCGTAGATTCTAATGGATGAAGATTCCTATTTCTTTTTTTTTTTACGGCAACGGAGGAAGATTCCCACTTAAGCATTATACCGCCAAAAATAGTCTAATGGAGGAGGACTCCTATAATCCTATTTACTTATTTAGCCATTAATGCATTATACGGCCAAAAATATTCTAATGGAGGAAGATTCCTATTTAGGCATTAATGCATTATACGGTCAAAAATAATTGCGCAAGCCAACCTCGAGCTACATTCAACAAATATATATATATATATATATATATATATATATATATATATATATACATACATACATACATACATACATACATACATACATACATACATACATACATACATACATACATACATACATACATACATACATACATACATACATACATACATACATACATACATACATACATACATACATACATACATACATACATATATATATATATATATATATATATATATAGACTCCAGTGAGATGACACCTTACGGTGAGATTACATGCTACGATCAGATGACGCAAAGCTCATCACTGGCCACAGCAAAGCTCACCAAACTGTAAGGCAAAGCTCACCATATTTTTTCAACACTTTAAATTTTTTTGCAAAAAAATAAAATTAAAGGAAGGGGTGCTGACTAGATTTTGACCGTTGACCGCCACCTTTGATTGCCGCCAGCCACCGCCGGCCGCCACTAGCCACAACCAGCTACCGCCGCCGCTGCTCTGCCGCCTGCCGGTCTCCGCTACTTACCAGTGGTTGACCGGTGTTGCTATTTTTTTAATTAATTTTTTAATTTTTATAATTTTTAAAAATGGAGAGTTTTGGTGTTCAAAGTGGTGAGCTTTGCGTTGGCCATTGGTGAACTTTGCAGTGTAATGTGGTGAATTTGGCCTGGCGTTATCTCACCGAAGCATGTCATCTCACCGTAAGATGTCACCTGACTGGAGTCAATCTCATACACACACACACACACATATATATTGGTGAGAATGAAATCTTATGAAAGAATTAAGAATGCACGTGGTGCTTTAGAATGTGAGATCTAATAGCCATAAAAATAAGAAAAAAATAGAAAAATCGTGGTGATATTTATCCAATTAAATAAAACATTGTAAAATGCATTACCTGCTTTGTAAAATCAAACATTTAGTTTCCCTTTTAATTGCAGATTTGTCACAGTTATTTTAAATGTCTAAAAATAGATTTTATAAGTGAAAATTTAAAAATGTAAAAAAATAAAATAAAGTGAAAAGTTAAAGCTACATTTCTCTGTTCCAAAAAGTTTTTTATAGTTTGACTTTTTTGTCAAACTGTATTACACCTTGATCACAATTTGTGAAAGAAACATATTTTTGGATATGTGTGTGTGTGTTAGTTGCACTAATAAAGATGAGAAGCATAAATGCAATGTTGGGTTTGGTGAGATACATTTAAACAGCAAAGAGATATATTTAAACAGAAGTCTTTGAATTGGTTTTCTTTTTAAGGCTGTGTTTGTTTATATATGTGCCATATGAGATTTGGTGGGGTAAAGGATACATAGTAGCAGTATGTAGAATAATAATCCCATGGTTTTGTTTGGTTTTATTAGATTCACCCAATAATCATATGTGATGAGCATATATATGGCTTGAGAAGGAAGCTAAGCATATTTTTCACTTGTTTTCCTTTGGATCTTTCTCTAATTTCTTCTTCTTTTTTTCTCAACAAATCCTACCACGTTAATTCCTTTAATTTGACTACAAGCTAAGCCGCCACATCATTACTCATGCTTGCCCATACTTTATCCATTCTAAAAAATTGTCTCTTTCCTCGTGTATTTCAGTCAAACTGAGTTGTCTTGATCACTAAATAAAAAAAATTGTGTATAATCCCTTTTCTATCCAAAAAAAGGAAAGGCAAGAAGAAAAAAAGAGAGAAAAAGGGATGTACTTAATTATTCCAATATTGTTTAGCTTGAGTGTGTTAATTTCTAGGAAAAGAAAAGAAAAGAAGAGGCAGAGCAGCCAAAGTGGCAATATTATTATATTGGTGCTGGTTAAAAGCAATGTGTGATTTTAAAAGAATGGAAAATATAATATTTCCCTCCTAAACAATACAAATTAAACGTTTCCTTTATACCTCATGGCATCTTATTATTTTGACTTCGTATTACTCGTATCATCTTGTGCTACGTACATAGTGTGCTTTATATACGTCACAAAATAAACTTGAGATTTGTTTTTTGTTCAAAAATAAATTTCTCACTCCTTACTCAACTCTATTGCATAAAAAACAAATATAATTCATTTAATTTGGGCCAGAAGGAGTCATTTATAAGAAACTCTACCATCCACTTTGAGTACACGTGACCTTATATAAAACAAATTTAAAAAAAAAACTCATGTAATTAAGTAAATGTTTGTGTTGGTATTAAATAAATGTTTATTACTTGCATAAGAAGCTTTGTGTGCACCCTTTAGGTACACATGAGAATTTCCATCAGAAATCCTATAAGGCCCTGTTTGGTACACAGAATTCAAACTATGGAATTGGAATTGAGGACTTCAATTCCAATTCTGGTGTTTGGTAGCACAAAAATTATGTGGATTTGGAATTGATAGTGCAAAAAATGAATTGGAATTAGCAGAATTCAATTCTATGGAATTGAATCCCATGGAATTTCAATTTCAATTGAATTCCAATTCCATCAATTCCGTATACCAAACGGACCCTAAGAGTGTTGGAAGTTATATGTTCAAATATATGTACATGAGAGAGCGAAATAATTTCTTTATATATCAACATTGTTATTTACAGCATGAATAAAAGAAATTAATTGCTCTGCATAGATACATTCTTTTTACACCTCTTGTGAACTCTCCAATCAAAATATACACCATTACACATTTACACTGTACCGTATGCACATCTCAGACGCCGCACGACCGCGACCTTCTTTGGTGGTATGACACGTTATAAACGTTCTTGGGCTACCGGCACTGCAGGTGTGGCTGAAGCTATGGTGAATTGCATTCCATTTCGCTGTGCTGCCGCCTCCTGCAGCCGCGGTTTAAAAGTTAGAATGAAAAGGATGCGCAAAATGGTGGTTATATCTAAGACTGCCTGCCTATGGGGTGACTTTATTTTCAAGGAATAAGTTATTTGCATGTTGCTTTTAATTTAGCAAGAGAATCGTTTGGCAAGAAATGAATATGTGCATTTTATTGTTTGAAAAGAAAAAAAAAACCCACAGTGCATAGTTAGGAAAGTGTTTATAGCATAAGGCATCCGAAACAGGCTCTAAAGCAGTAATAGAAATTTTAACCTCTCTTTGCCTTCGCTGTTGCAAAATGCTGATGGCCCAGACCATGATGTAGCAAGGCAAGAGAAACCCAACCATCCTTAGCAAGAAAAGCTGCAAAAACACAAGCGATTAGACGTTGTAGTTTCGAAATCGTCTCTTTAGCTGCTGCAGTTTGAGTGGGAATGAACTTACAGAGAAAATAGCAGATGGGTCTTCTTCCTCGCCACCATTACCATCTGTCACGCTCATAGCATGCCGCAATAGCAGAAGAGCCATTAACTGCCATTGTTTTAAAACTTATGGCATTATTAATACAAATATAAGTGAAAGTGAATTGAAGATAATATTAAAAAGAGCACAACAGTTCTTGAAGGAAATTGGTAGGGGCTCACAATTAGGGCAGCAGAGCGGCAGAAGGCAGCACCACTCGCATTTGCAGCATTATAATCGTCATATTCAGCTTCCAAAATTTGGCGTTCAGCCTCCGCAAGTGCCAAAAAACGATGATCATGCAGATCCAGAGGCATACCAGAGATTTGCCACCCTCCCCTGGTCACCCATTGGAAGAAAATAAACATCATTAAAACTGCAGAGCTAGACTTGAATATGTTATACTTGAAGAACTTCATGTACGCGAAAAAATCAACGCCAGTTTAAGGACTTAAAGTGGCTTTAAGATTTCAATAAGCCAACCATACATGCAGGTAGAAATCAAGATTGGGCTGGGAGTCACTCGAATAGGCCATGGGACATATGGGTTGTATCACACTAAAAGGTTGAGTCCAATTGATTGGCTAGTTCAACGCAAAATCTTATTAACTCGTCAATTTTTCTAAAATATTCCCATGTGGGACCCCCTAACACATGTTATGCATGTTCAACTAAATTGAGCTATTATGTGCCAATAGAATCATCTGCAGGTAGGAAGAAACAAAAGGAAATTGCGCCATATTGTACCCAAAAACTGATCTTACCCAATATCAATGATTGAGTCTTCGGGCTGAGCTTGAGGAGGAGGGGCAGTATAACCAGGCTGGTAAGGCTGCATACTCAGAAAGGTAGAATTAGCAACAGATTATGAATAACTCTGAAGGGTTGGGCTGGGTGCCAAGCAATGAAAACTAGGAGGACCAAATGTTAACTTTAGTAGCTATATACACCAAAAGAATGTCAAATTCCAGTCATTACCCTATTTAAAGAATATTTCCCCTGGCCTACAAATATGGTCCATTTAACACATTTACATAGTTAATTTGAACAAATGACAAACTAAAATTAAGTATAGTAAAAGTTCGCATGCTCAAAATAAATGTATTAATTTCACCAATAAAAAATGAAGTGAACACTAAAGAATTTATTTAATAAATGAAATCTGGATACAATTGACTCTCTCGCGATCATGAAATAGAGGGTCAAGAGTGAGAACAGTGTACATAAGAAGAATTATATTTATGAGTCAAAGAAGGTTCAACAAATGTCAAAGCATTGATGGAAGAAGTTTATGCATCATTTTCCATCCTTGCACATTAGCAGTAATACATCATCTTTTCTTCCCAAGTCGATATAAAAGTAAGATAACAAAAGGTTATTCTAAACACAAACAAATGTTGGAAGTTCTTTGTTAGAGAAGCCAGTAAACCTTTCGTCTTTCCCAAATCCCAACCGCTGATTTCAAATATCAGATAATTGTGAGAGTTTATTGAATGTGAAAAAAGTTTTCTTAGCCTCACAAAACACAAGATCATTCAATAATTTAACATATTAGCTAGTACCTGGTGACAGATCTCGCATGTAGTGTCCCCCTTCTCATTGCACCAGTGTTGAACACATTTTCTGTGAGCATACTGCATTGAAAACATCCCCCCTTAGACACTTCATCCAGGCATGAAAATGAATAAGGAAAATAGAGAAGGGAATAAATAATGCTGTAATAAGCTATCTTATAGAAAATCATCAGTACTGTAATTAAAAGGAGTCATGATTATTAGCATATATGTTGTTGAAAATCGAGATATAGTTGACCGGTGGCTAAATCACCGAACTAATCAGAGACTTGCCGGATTAGATCTATGTACAAAGATGAGTCTTTAGAACAACAGCAATATGATCTTCTTATTATGTAAGTACATAACTGCCTATGAACATATAGTTTCCAAATAGAGCATATCATGAGCATTTGAGACATCTGAGACTTACTAGAGAAAACAAAAACCACAGCCACTTGTGAGGTAGGGATATCATAGACAGTACTCAAATTCTTTTTCACCATGATCATGATCTGAACTAAATTCTGAAGGTTACAGCACAAAGAGTTTTGACTAAATGCTAGACATTCATTTTTACCACTAAGAGCTAACTATACACGGAGTATTTAATGCCCCAACCCAGGAACAATGCAGACAATTCACATGCAAGAACCATTCACTGACGTCTGGGCAAATTCAAGAATTGTATCCAAATAGAGTTTTTTGAGCCATTCACCCCTGATTTTTTAAAAAATTGCATCGATTCTCCCTGAACTTTAAAAAATGCATCAATGCCCCTTGAACTTTTAAAAATGTTGCATCAATGGTCTATCTACGACCCTGTCTACGACAGTTTTGGGAGTGCGTTAATCACACGCTCATTCAGTGCAAGTACGAATTCATTTAAAGTCATATATATCACACGTGACTTCTGCAATATACTCTTTCCAAACATTATCTTCTATACTTTTAACCTCTCTAAACCCTAGATAATTGTTCTCGTTTTAGTCGTCGGTAACCGAATTCGGAGGCCAAACATCAGTCGATAAATCTCGTCATAGATCGACCAACCTCTTCATCAATCCATGACATCTTCATCAAGCTCCAACACGTATATTCATAAGCGCTTAGTTAACGCACTCCGAATTCTAGAACAGATAGATTATTGGTGCAAGATTTTTAATTTTCAAGGGGGCATTAGTGCAATTTTTAAAGTTCACGGAAAATCCGTGCAATTCTTGAAAATTTAAAGGGTAAATGGCGCAAAAAACTCTATCCAAATATATATAAAAATATAGTGACACAATTTTTTTTAAGAAAAATTAAGAGTAAGAACAATTAACCAACCAGGGCACTGACCTTGAGACTGCCACTGCAAGCGCAGGGAGTTTCCATGTTGTTGACAGACTCCTCCTCCTGGCAGATGCGGCACTCCGCAATTCCAATCAGAGGTGCCTCCTCGTCAATCTCTTCCTTCTCCCCAACAAGAGCAAACGAAGAGGCGCCCGCCATCTCCAGCCTCTTTTCGTTAGGGTTGGCCTCCTCAACTCTCTGGCTAGACCCAGACCCTGCTTCGTCCTCTGGCTTACCTAGCCCGTCCACATACACCACCAAATGCTCCCCCATTTCCCCCAATATATCCAACAAAATACTAAATCTCACAGAATGAAAAGCGCGAAACCTTCAATTCTCATTCAGATTAGCAATTTCATATGATAAAAACAAAGACAGCAAAAATTAAACAGTTGGATCTCCTCCTCCCTCCTCCCAATGTATGCGTTTCTATCTATATATATATCTCTCTCTCTCTCGAATCAAGAAGAACATGAAGAAAATAAAGGGGAAAAAGGAAGAGAGTTAATGGATATACATCGGGATATATCGACAGACATGAAATTTCCACCGATCAGGCGGCCGGTGCAGCGTGATCAGGGAAATTCAGGAACTCTGAATTGAAAATTCAAGTCAAATCAAGCTGGAAATGGTGCCGGAAGCGGGAGAAATGAAAATGAGCCTGAAAAGGAGGGGATTGGGAAGCTTTAATGGAATGAAATCGCGAGTTTGACGCAATGCAGAAGATGAGTCTCTGTATGTGAATATACATACATTGGACCATGCTACACCAACAAATATATACACCGCACGTTTACACAAACACAAGGTACTTTAATAAAAATTCACACGGATATACATTTGGGGGTGCAGCAATAATAAGCCACCGACCGCCCAATTAGCAATGTTCCTAATTGCGCCTCGCACCTTTTTTTTTATGAAAAAAAAAAGGATTAAAGATCCCTCAAAAATAAAATATAAGAGCATCTCCCAATCTCCCATGCAGATGTTTACAGTATTGGAAATACATTTTTAACATCATTTTATCTTATTTCACACTTTCACTCGAAATAGATTTCAAATCCGGAACTTCAAATTGAAGCTTGAAATTTTTTTTAAATTTTTTAATGCATACTTTGTAAAAGTAAATCTATAAGGTTTTATTAATTAGTTAAATTTAAATGAAAATAATTCATTAAATAAAAAATTTATACTAAAAAAATTACATTAATTAAAAAACTGAAGCATATTATATTTCGCCTTGATCTCGTTTTGTCTTTTCTCGTAATACATATGTTTAAATCGTGTTAATGTATCAAGGTCAGTTTCAATTGTTTCGAGCTCCTACTTCTTTGTCCTCTGTTTCTCCCTCTCTTCTTCTCTAAGATTAAACAACTGCATTTGTTTGACCATTTGCAAGTTGATATCGTCGTGAGAGGAAATAGAGTCGGACCGAGAATCCGAGCCAATTGATTTTTCCTTCTTTCTTCCGATCAAACGTGAAATGGAGTCCTCGTCTTCGGAGTCGTTTAGGTTGACGGCTTAAAACTCTCTACAAATCAACACATACTTTACCTTGGTGTCCGTCGTCTTGATATTGGTGGGTTGCTTGCCGCAAAATATCGGCATTGTCCGTCCCGCTCTTCCGGAACCGAGCACATTCCTCGTACACTTCGATAAATTTTTGAGCTTTTCTGTTTGTCTTGCCCCATTTGGAAGTGAGTTGGTCTCGGGTAAAGCCTATCGCGTACTCGTTTGGCTCAACACCGGACAGAGGATCGGATGGATGACCGAAGGGATTCATGATAAAAATTTTAAAAAACAAGAGAGAAAGATATGAAATATATGAAAGAATAAAGAATTGTATGAGAGAATGAGGAGATATTGTGTGTGTGTGTGTGTGTATTTAGAATATGAGAGTGTATTTATAGATGAAATTTTATTGAAAAAAATTATAATTGGCAACGACCAAATATTTGACCGTTGGGGGGTGCACCGGATCTTTCAACGCTTCTTACTGCGTTAAATATTTAAGTAGGAGGTCTGACGCTCGTATAACGCGTAAGGGGGGCGATTTCTAACGCCGGATAGCCGTTAAACGCCCCATAACGGAGCCCGGCGTTATATACATTTCCATTGCCCTAAAAATGGGTTGGTAAATGCTATTTTCATAAATAAAGAGTGTTTTATCAATCCAAATTTTAGCAAGCCTTCCAACCATAGTATTAGCATGAACTCTATTCGTCCCAAATTAAATTGTTTGTTTACTACTCCCTCTGTCCTAATTCCACCTTCCCACATTGACTTTTTCCCATTTTTAAGGACTCCATATTTTTACCTTTGACTTCCCATTTTGCCCCTTACTAAAAATTTTAGGAATTTTTTTTAAGGCTAACTAAAAAAAGGTTAAAAAAGGGATTTAATAAAGGAAAAAAACATAATAAAACATCTCAAAAGGAAGCAATCCACGGTACATTAAGCCCAAATAGCAAAGGCATCCACTTTTACAAATTTCATGTTCAACCA